GGTGTTGTAAGTGCATTCATTGTTTGGCATACTTAAACAAATATGATTGCCAGTCAACTTTATTTGTGTTTTTCTTTTTTCAATGTTTGTCAAATTTTAGGGCTTTTTAGGTTGTTTCATAGACCTGTAATACGTAAGTCGTTGTTCAACTTGAAATATGCGGAGCTGACATGAGATTAACTTCATGCTTACTATTACTATCCTATGAAAATTTCCATAGCCCAGAAGTGTCAACTTTTATTAAAACACAAAAAACAGAAATATATGGTCAACCGCCGATTACAGAAACGTTGCCTATCGCACAATTGTCTCAGTCATAGAAAGTGACTGTTTTATGCAATAGTTTTCCAGGCATTTGCTGCCTGGAAATATATTTCCAGATTTTTGAATTGACTACACTTTGTCAAAGAAACCTTGCATGCGATGTGGTAATCCCATAGTGTATCTCACTTCTTTCATGAAGTTAGCTTTTTTTTCAGAAAGTCAAAAGAATGATTACCGGTATAATTCCTTTCCTGAAGTCGTATTCTATTTAGTCTATGCTGTAATTAATGTCATCGTACCCTATTTCAGTATAGGATGTATGGTACATTATATGCCCTCAAAGTGATCCCAATATGCCGTACACTGGGAATACCAACTTAGACATATGGCTTTAATAGAGAACTTGTTCATTTGAAATACAATGTATAGGAATACTTTTTCGAATTATATTCACAGGGCCTGGTGTGTAATCATGCTTTTCACAGTGCATGCATAAATTAATGGTATTGTATGTGTTGACATGCATATGGAAATGCGGTTAGTTTCGTAAATGAGCTCTTGAGATAAACTGCTTCACACCATCATGTGAGAGGAGGAACCTAATGGTACCATGTCGATTTCCTGACGTCATTTAATATATGAAATCCCCCTAGTACATTTCAGCATCGCTATTTCAACAGGAAGAATACGTAACAAATTTACATCACTTTGCATACTTTACTTCAATCAGCATGGCTATTTCAACAGGAAGAATATGCAACAAATTTATATCACTTTGTATACTTT